AAGATGGCACATTTTGTACCATGTACAAAATCTATCATAGGTGAAGAAATAGCTAAGCTCTTTCTTGACAATATCTATCGCTATCATGGATTATCCAAGGATATTATATCAGATAGGGGAACTCAATTTGTATCAAGATTTTGGTGGATTCTTTTCAAGATTCTAAAAGTGGATATAAAACTATCTTTGGCTTTCCATTCTCAAATTGATGGACACGTGGAGTGTGTTAATCAAGTTTTAGAGCAATATTTAAGATGTAACATTAATTACCAATAAGATTATTGGACAACTCTTTTGCCATTGGTAGAGTTTGTTCATAATAACACGATACATTCTTCTACAAAATAAATACTTTTCTTTGCTAATTATGGTTATCATCCAAGACTTGATACTTTTGACTTTTCAAAAGTTGATAATCCTACTGCAAAAGATTTGGCGATTCATTTATCAGAGCTACATAGAACGATGAAGGCGTAGTTAGAAGAAGCTCAAAAACAACAAAAAGTCAATGTAAATGTCTATCGAATGGAACAACCACCATTTCACTTGGGTGATAAGGTATAGCTACTTCATCGCAATATCAAGACCACTCGTCCTTGTGACAAGTTGGACTATTCAAGGTTGGAACTATTTTCTATTTTTACATAAATTAATTCAATCACATATCATTTATATCTATCGGAGTCAATGAAAATCCATCCATTATTCCATGTATCTCTTCTTGAACCATACTTGATAGTAGACATACCAAGAAGACGACAAGCTCTACCTCCTCCTATAGAAGTGGATAATAATGAAGAGTTTGATGTAGAAGAAGTCTTTGATTCAAGGCGGCACCAAAATAAATTAGAGTATCTTGTCCATTGGCGCGGATATGATATTAGTGAACGCACATAGGAGCCAGTAAAAAATCTTGCAAATGCAACAAAGGTGGTGGAGGCTTTTCATCGACGACATCTATCAAAATTAAGATGAAAACCTTTTTTATAAAAGAATCAACATCTAGGCAAAATAACATTCTATTTTCAATCCTTATTTATAACTCCTTTGTAGTTGTGACGCTCAAGAGATGGAGAACCAACAACTAGTAGATTTGACTTAAGAGCCTTCATTTGCTGACTTGCCAGATGAGACATTATAATTGTCACAACCTTCAAGATGATGCAATCGAGATGAAGATCTTCAAGAACAACATGTTCTTCCTCGAATAGATGGCGAGATACAACACATTTGGTATCACAACTTGGGAAGGAACTCTTGATGTTTGGTGATTTTACTAAAGGTAGGAACAACCCTTGATGGTGTTCGAAATGTTCTATTCGAAGGAAGTTATGAAGGCCTCAACAATGAACAAATATATGGGTGATCTTCCCACCCTGGTATAGAACACTAGCGATAGTTGAGAGGCCCTTTCAATCATCTTCGAAGAGAACAAAGATCAGAGTATGTCGCGAATACAATTTGTCACATCATAGATTTCCTCAATATATAATGACCGCTCCTTGTGGAACTCATCCCTAGAAGGGGATGGTAATGTCATGGACATATACATGTAAGCCAATAATTACATGTATAAATAAGTAGAAGTAAGTAAAAGTAGGTAAAAATAAGTTAATTCTATAGTATTTGATATAGAAGCTTCCTAGAAGCTTTATAGATGCTGCTTTGACTTTATAGGTATCTTTAATTGACTTTTTGGAATTAGAAATGTGGTCAACAAGTTCGCCATGAGCCACACATGTAGTTAGCTTGAAGACCAAGCTAATAATGTGGCCCACACAAAGAAAAACTTGCTTTGTAAGTCAAGGCATGTGTCCTACAAAGTCAACACATATTGGAGGTCCTATAGAACGTCGCCACATAGTCCCTAATTAGATAGTATATATAGAGACAAGAGTGAAGCCTTCTTCACTCTTGTCAATTCTTTTCTTGCTTCTAGTCTAGTTTCAAGGGTCTCTAGTTTTCTTGTCTTTTGGCAATAGCCATTCCAGTTTCTCTTTCAATATACATACTTATTTATTTATATTTTGTTATCTTTCTTTGAAAGAAGGCTCACTTATCTGAATTGCTTTTTTATCGAATTCTTGTCCTTGACAGTCTATAAATACTTATAAGAATGAATTCAAATCATAGAGAAGTCACAAATATTTTTCTATTAAAGGTGCAAACTAAAAAAGATCACTTCTTGATAGAAGTGTTCTTTTGAATCCAACTTAAGTAAATTCATTGGAATATTAGAAATGATACAACCTTAAATAGAATTTGACTTTTTGCAAAAATCTTCAAAATTTTAATTTTGTTCCATCAAATTTTTTATGCATAATAAACTTTATCCCTATCATACTTGTAGAAGAAAAACTCCTTGGATTTGATTATGAGGTCAATCTACTTGTTTCTTTCAACTGCACAACTTCTTGTTGTAGACTCTGAACTTCTTCTATAGGCATAGGCATAGTACCTCCATGATTCACATTAGAAATATATGAGATTCCCACTCTTAGAATATTGACAAGCTTATGAAGATCGACATTAGTTGCATATCTATTCTTATTTCCATTGAGAGTAGCATCTATAATTTTTCCTTCCATAGACAATTCAAATAAATTCAAAAAATTAAATTAGAAGAGGGTAATCTGTAACTTCTAATAAAAAAATCCACAAAGAGAGATAATCTACTTTCTTTAAGCAAGAGATCAGTATTAGAAAATAAGATTTTTTGTTTAAAGGTAGGTAATGTGTAATCTTCAAAATACAACAACAAAAGTGGAGTAATCCAATCACTTCTAAAATAATACAGAAATAATATGTTAGCATTCTTGTCAAATTGTTTAGGACATGAATCTCAAAGAAAGAAAATCCTCAATACACTCTTGTATCACTGAAAGGAAGTAGAAAGTCATTCAAAGATGATATAATATTGAACTAGAATGGCTATTGCCAAAAACAAGAAGACTAAAAAGTCTTAAAACAAGACTAAGGACTAAAAAGGAATTAGCAAGAGTGAAGAAGACTTCACTCTTGCTTCCATATATATTCTTAAATAGGAACTACGTGGCAAAGTCCTATATGACCTCCAAAACATATTGACTTTGCAATTCACATATTTTAACTTGTAAGGCAAGTTTTCTATGTGTGCACTACATAGTTTGCTTGTTTCGAAAGCTACCAACACATGATTAACTTGTTGACCAATTTTCTAATCTATCAATCAATTACAAACTCATATAAAGTCGAGAAATATATATGAAGCTTCTAAGAAGCTTCTCTAAAAGGTCTTATGAAATTAATCTATTTTAATCTACTTTTATCTACTTCTACCTAATCATATAGGTATTTATTAGAATACTTATGCATGTCCATAACAATAAAACATATATATAGTATATTGATGATATCAATGTAGTAAATTGATGATATCTTTTTTTTCTATGTTGTTTATAATTTATTAAAAATTTAATACTTACATAAAAATCTTATCTTTTTATGTAGCAATCATTGATACAAACATTTTATTATCAATTGTATCACTTTATAATATTTAAGACATTTTATAATAATTTATAGGAGAAAAAAAATCTAAAAACAAAAGAACTTAAGAAAAAACTGAATTAAGTGTAATAAAAAGTTTCAATACCATATTTTTGATTTTTTAAAAAAATAGAACATTATAGAAGTTGATTATTATTATCTCATTTTGAAAAATTTCTAATTGGTATTCTAAAGTATTTTTAGTGATTTTAAATCCAAATTTTACTTGTCTTAATTTTATAATAGTACAATTGATCCTTTGTTTATTTATTATGTTACATAGAAGGCATTCACAATTAACATATTTGAAATTATTATTATTTAATTAATTATATATATATATATATATATATATTGAAAATTTTACTCATTATTTTAGTGCCTTACTTTTGTATTTAATGTCATTAAATCTTATTAAAAACTACCAAAAAACCATGCCATTGGGCACAACAATTTTTGGCACTAACATCTATTCCTTCATTTATCCATGTTCCATTGTTCCCATATTTGGCCAATCAGAAGGCTTATTTATTTCTTTGTCTAGAGTCATTTTATATAATGCATAAGATGCTAAGTACCTTCATTTATTTATTTATGTCAAAATATTATTTTATACCTTTTATAGTTTGGATTATAATGAATCTTAAATCTTAAAAATTGCATTCAAATTTGGAAACTATCTACATAATTTTATTTTTGATACATTAAAAAAATACTTTAAAAGGAATTACAAATTGAAGATAATGATTTCTTGAAATAAAAGATTTGGCATATAGTAAAGCTAATGAATGAAATATATTGAAATATTTGAATAGGATCAAAACCATTACAAGTTTCAAAATAAAAGCACTCACCATCACATTTATGATTTATTTATTATTAACTGACTTTCAAACACAAATACTTAACGAAAGAAAGATAATTGCAACAAAATAACAACCCCATCATTCAAAAATTAGCAAAACAATTTTTTTTAAAGTCTAACACGTGCAATAAATCTCTCATCAAAGACACCAACAATATTTCTATGCATCACAATTCAATCAATCTACGAAGATGCAAAAATTCCAATTGTGAACTCCCAACAATGGGAATGTCAACCCCATGAGGCTCCACATTTTTACAAAGCACAAAACATTGTGAAAATAAATCCTAAACCCTAAATCCTAATCTGTCATCATCCACTCTTGAAAATACAATAACCACGCGGAACAATTGAAGGTAAAGCTTATGGCCAGAGTGGGAGGTACTGGTTATGTGCCGCGCCGACGCGTCACCGACCCGTCACGAAACTGTGACGTGTCGGCACGTCGCGTCGCGTCACCGCCATCAACTGACGCGGCACGTCTTGACCATGAACAACTGGGGGTGATGGAGGCTTCATGAGGGGTGGCCCTGTGTTCTGACTGGACTGGGATGGAATCCCTTGGTGAATCAGCCAAGCTCCCTCGCAAATCGCACCTGCTGCGCAAGCTCAATTTGATGACTCATTCGCAACATACAACATGAAACTCTTGTCAAGTCAGGAAAGTTCGCGCCTTGGAGTCTCGGCAATGCCTTTAACTGTCACGTCGCTGGAATCCCAGTGCACACGTTACGGATCGTTGCCTGCCAATGAGTTTCAAAGTTGAGAGCGTTTCTAGGTTTAGTTGAAGTTGCCGTGTGCTTTGTGTGTGTGTGTGTTGCGGTGCTGATTCCCCACCCACGGGTTCGGAACTGGTTTTGTGGGTACCTGGACAAGTGTTTTATTTGTGTGTGTGTGTGTGTGTTTAAGTCTGTGTGGTGTGTAATGGAGAGCAGCATTTCGTTTTTCTTCAGGCGTCAGTTTGCGACGCATTTCCCTCGAAGTGGGATTCCCCTCAAGTCGCTGCAGTCCTTGCAATCTGAGAGCGGCACTTCAGTGGCCGATGTGCCAAAGAGCACCTCTGCTGGAGAAGCTCCCCTTGCAAAACAGGCAATCTCAAGGGTAGATTCTGACTTGGAATGGTTTATAGCTTTTTGTAACATATGGGAGTAGAGGTTGCGATGCGAGGAATATGAGTGCACAGGCAAGTGATCATCTTATTCTACGTACATGAAACTATAGCAACTGTACCCAATGTCGTGTTCGCGGTGATCTATGCAGAGGGTGTGTTCATTTATCCAACATTTTCAGTACGGGGTTCATATATGTTCTATTTACTTTGCGGTGGTGGGTGATTACAGTGACATAGTTGTAGATGATTAACTAATGAAATGTTGGGAGTGCTTCACAAATTGATGGTGTGCAATTTATGGATGCTGCCAAGTGAAATGATCGTGCTTATTTTGTCAATGTATCTGTTCATCATCCTGTAACGACAGGATGTTCTGGGGAGAACTGAGGCCTTGTTTTCGGGTACGTACTCAACCCTTGAGGAGTTGAAGGTTTTTAATTTTTGATGCAAGCTCGGTTGTGTTGCACAGAAGTTTGATAAGGAGACCTTGCAAGATTGTATATTTTCCAATGTATAATGGTTACTAATTATTCTCTCCCTGTATGTAGGGATCCGCTGGAACACGTATTCGGTTTGTGTATCATCAGACTGAATCAATACAGCAAACCCATGAAGAATAGACTTCAATCTCCTCACTTGTGTCTAGTATAACCAAGAGCTTTGGAGTGCCATCCAGAAATTGAGATCGGCAGCAAAGATATCAGTAGCTTAGATTTGTCGTGAGATTTTCGATATTTTTGTGAAAGTTGCTTCTGTAGATATGTATTCATCTATTGGTTGTGGTTCAGCCCAAAAAGGTCGGACAGTGTCTGCTGGAGTGCATTAGTGCATACTTGTGCTTTCTTGTATATGCTCACGTGATGTCAAGGGCTTAGCTTCAGGACTACACATGACAGGAGAGACATTGATGATAAAAATTTCTACATAATTTTGTTAAGAATGAGAGTTACGCCCCATCAATCGGGCATTCTTGGAAGAAACTGGCGTGATATTCTGAAATTCTTATTCGATGGGATTTTCCAATTTTGGGTCCAGTCGTGTAAATAAAGAAAAAAGTTGATGAGGATGCGTAGGCATAGAAAGTTGCTGCAGAGGATCCGGAACGATCGACATATTTGGTGGGGTGCATCAGAATTACTACCTCTGGGATTCACATTCGTCCTGATTACATAGGGTCATTTGCACTAAGTTCAGTTTCAAATGTAGCCTACTAAATCTTCATTTTTACACCTAATCTTTTTTCGAGACCCTTCCATCACTCAAAGTACTATCTTCTCAAAAATTCGAATGAGAGATTCGAATAAACACTCCTCAGAAAAGTTGATAACTTCTCCACCAGTGAAAATTGATGAATTCGAAGTACATGAATGGAGTCACCCAACAACCATCCTCGGTCCTGTGTGTGCGACTGTTATTTCCAAACCTACTAGTCTCAAGGTGACGAAGATCGTCGTGGGGAAACATAAACTCATTGCTTGGGAGCTGATGCAGCCTACGCATGACTATTATTCATGATCTAGTTAACAAAACCTCACAGATACTCCAGCAGGAACACAAACTGAGATAGTGCTGTATTCTGCTATTTACATAACCGTACAAGGGGTTGAAGACATTTGCTTTGGGTTCATTTACTGCAACACCTACTTGCTTTTCTTATTCATCTTGGACTTGATTTTCGCTTTTGCGACTAAGGTGGCGACTGTATTAATAAAGTTGCCGCACGCCATCAGGACCAACAACAACCCGCAAACCACAATCTGTTACACATCACAAGGATTTAACAGGCCTCTATTTCCAAGTTCAATAATTTCCATAAAATATGAATGAACTTCGAATCGAACAAAGCAAGTGCAGAATTGAGTGAAACAAGCCGTAAAGGTGATGGCTGATTACCTGCCACTCAGATTTATCCTCCACAATAGCAGTCTTTAACAAAAGGATTCCAATGAAAAATTGGAAACCCTACACATATGAAGTACAACAGATCAGAAAGGACCAAAAAGTGCCAGTATTCTAATTGATCACCAACAATAACCTTCTCCTTCGATAGCAAGTTGAACTGCAAGCCTGTTTACATTTCCTACAAGATATCCAAGTGTGTTGCAAAATCCCACCTGTAGGATGAAGAGGAGAGGATACAAAATCCCAAGTTGCCCCTTCACACCTGCTGTCTCTCCCCACACGACATCCATCCTCCCAGCCTGTGTACCAGATTATCTGTCAGAAGAAGACCTTGCCTCACACGGTTCAATGCTGAGTAAAATCAACGAGATTGAGGCCCAGCATTTCCTTCTGTATGTGAAGGCCGTACATCACCTTGGTATGAGACTGGAACTAAGACCAAGTTCTGAGGAATGCTGACACAGTCTTTTGGCAGCGACACTAATTACAATTAGCATGATTTCTATGCTTGGGTTCTAAAATTGACAAGCATTGCATAGTGTATATGTTAAAAAATGTATCAATAAATCGGAAGATAAAATGGCCAAGAAAATGCGTTGGCTAGCGGAATAAGGAAGAGTTGCTAAGACTACTTCAAAAAATGCTTTCTCTCGTGCGCATCCATTGCAGGGAACACTGCTAACACATGCATTAAGAAGTGAGCACACTATACCTTTCCGAGAGCAATCCGAGTATACAAGCGTCGGCGCTGATAACGGTTCTGTAATAACATGGCTACACCTTGCATTACAGCCCATCCAAGAAACAGCTGCACTCCTTGCTGCAGACGCAATAAACATTAGAACATTACCAAAAAACGGACAAGCCTACTGACAAGTGCCAGACACAGAATTTGCCACCATAACGCTTCTTTTGCGCATGGAATTCTTTGGACTGATAGGGACAGGAAGGTAACATAACCTCTCTCTCATAAAAGTTAACGATGTCACGCGAAGTAAATATTGCCCGTGTACGGACGTACCTGTTTGCGAATGCAACTAGGATGACCCCATGTAAGACTCACCAGTGCCATCACCATTGCACAATAATGATGATACACCCACCTGCCACATCAATGCAACATTCTCCCACTATAATCCAAACGAATCGCGAAATTGATGGAAATGCATTAGGGCCTGCATGATAATGGACCGTCCAAAAAAGCTGATGATGGAACTTCCTCCAACAAAACGAATAAACTTAACGAAAACCATCGTTGGAAGGTTCAGTGAAGAAAAGTACCATGGCCGTATGTCACTACCGTTGACCCTCAAAATGTTTTCTCGCAGAGCTAAACTAGTGTAGAAAAACAACAACCATGCCTGAAGCAACCACATGGGTAGCACTTAGCCACCTTGAATGAAGAAATAGCGTCACAAAGTTTAGATAAAGTATCTGCAAATCCAAGTTGTGCGAAGAGTAACACTCGACATGTACCAAGTCTTGTACGAAAGATCGTATGATCCCAAATCAGCATACAAGAACAAGCCCTTGGTCGATCCTAGTAACTCGGTATCATCCAAAGCATTCCAGAAAAGCCTGTGAAATATACCTGGTATACTTGCACTGGCAAAGCTGGAAAGCACCCATTCCATATTTTATTCTTCAAAACAAGCAATATGACCGGAAATGCAAGAAACATCAGTGCTGTCCTATCCTGAACACACAACATTATATCAGTACTCATGGGTTAATAACTTGATCCTTAACCTTGTGTTCTTGGAGAGAACCACATAAAACGATAGCAAGTAATTACTTTCTTACTTTAGCAGTTATCTTGCACACATTCATTTAAAAATGTACCCTGAGAAAATGAAATCGACATACCCTGTAGGCATTGTACTCCTCTTTCACTTTATATCGACCATCTTTCAGTGTTGCCCTGACATTAGTAGGTCCAAGCAGCATCCTAAGAAAAACACCTGAATCATGTACATAACCGTCGTTCAATCTACAGATCCTTCGTAGCATCTCCCCCAAAGCAACAATAGCAAGTGCAATCTGAGGCAGATCAAAAGATAATCTTCGTGAACTTGTCATTCCAGGAATGGAAATATTTTACAAAAAATGCAGGAATCTTTTCTTTAGAAAAAGTCGCAGCTGGGCCAGGTTGAATTTGACAATCGGGGTACGTCCGCACAGAGGCCCTTAAAAACCAAGATGGGATGCTGCTCACCATTAGCTTTGGCAGGAAGTAGAGACGATACTTCTCCATTGTACAGCATAGTTCGTGCTCTATAAAGCTCTTCCTCCAGCTGCGCAGCCACCATAAAGCTCAGGCCATCAGCAAAATTGTAGGACTCATATTAGCATTTTTATAATATAACAAGGACAGACTGGTCTGACTAATCTCAGCAAGTAATTTCCTAAGTATCTTCACAAAGTCTCCGGCTGCATTTGCTAATGCGATGCTACGGCATGAGACATTAGGTTTAAATGTGGAGAGAAGAGAGTCCTAGCAGTACAGGATCTGCTGCACACAGAGGACAGTATCACATCTCAAGGGCACCATACGAAGACGATAAAAATAAGGTACAGTAATGAGATTTACTCGGAGATGTGACATTAAAGAACAAAACCTTATCAGCTGTTTGCTGGTCGATTTCGTCCTTCTCACTAGCAGAGCCCACGTCAACTTGAAGTTTCTTCAAAGTACTAACATGGTTGATAGCCTGCTTGCTGAGAGTGTCCGCCTCATGTTGCCACCTTGAGGAATGTGCCGATGCCGCTTCTTTTAATGATCTACAGCTCTTGGCCAAGCTCGCAACTCGATCTTCAATACTTTCCTCCATTTCAGCGCCACCTTTGGGTTCAATGCCCCTATTACCACAGCCGCTGGTCATCGGAACTTAGGTTGGAGACGGCGGAAGAACTGCAAGGCCAATCGAGGCGACATGTAAAAATATGTATAACAAGGTAAGGTTCCCCAACTCCCAGATAGTTGTTTCCGTAATATGTGGTTACTTGTTGTTACAAGAGATTCTTGATGAGCTGGTGATTCAGAGAGCTTAACCCCAGAATTAGCCACTCACTTTTATGAAACAAGGAAGATGCGAGGGTAATGCAGCGTGAAAATTTGAGGAATTAAAAATTAGCTTCTCAAGATACGAAATATGTTTCAAGTGGGACAATCGAGTTGCTCATAGTGAATAATCAGTTCAATGTCAGACTTTTGCAGCGAAACCCGGAGCTCGCACACTGCGTTTAATTCATACACGACACGGTACATTATCTTACATGAAACAAAAAAGATGATCAATTTCTATCCATTTCTGAATATCAACATGTCCAAGGCAAATACTGCAAAGAAATAACTTCTATTGCTTACGCCTCCGACTTCGGCACATAAATAACGCAATCAAAGAACGAGCGCAAACCACAAACTGAAAATCGCAGAAAATTTACGCGCAGACAAGACGACCTATTCGATCATTTCCCTAACGACTGAATTAAATTCGACATCAAAACTCTTCTGGAACAAGAGAAAGTCACGCAAACTATTCCTCTCCAACACTGCAATCACACAGATCCCTCAAAAAAAAAAAAAAAAAAAAGAAAAAAAAAAAAAAAAAAAGAAAAGAAAAAAGAAAAAAGAAAAAAAACGACATAAGCGATCAATTACAATCAAAAAGCTTCGGCACACACGCACCACACAATCCACGAAGCTTGGGACTCCTTTTTTTCTCCCGAAATCGGCTGTTACGGTAGAGTCACCCCTGATTGCAGGTGCAACAAACAAACAAAGACCAAAACCTCTTAAACCCCGACTCACAGATCTAAACTGACTGAAATCGACGCAGCAGAGAGTCTCCATTCTGAGACTACCTGATCTAACGCTGCACAACACATCACAAAATAGCGCCGCAAAGGAGGGAGGGAGGGAGGGGATGGACAAACGGGCGATGCATCGGGAGCACAGATGAAGAAGAAGAAGCAGAAGAAAGAGCTATGGCTATGGCCAATCTGCTGCTACTTCCCATTTCCAGCTCCATTGCTTTCTCTCCCAACGAGACCGCCCTTTACCTCTCTTCACCACGTCACCCTCCTGCTCTACCCCCCTTTCACACTGCGCCTCCTGGACTGGATTCCAGCATGTCCGCCTTCAGGAATATATATATATATATATATATATATTATTTATTTATTGATATGTGAAGTATATAATTTTCCAATTTTTTGTAAATTTAGGATATTTGTATACTATAGAAAGGTTTGTTAATTTCTTTTCTTTTTGGAAAAATATCATATATATCCCTAAGTATATTGAAATATTAAGAATATCCTTGCATTCTTGATAATAGCAAATGTACCATTGGCGTTTTTTAGAGTAGCAAATGTACCCTTGAATATGATAAGGTATCACCAATTTGACAAAGGCGCAACAATTCTCATGGTTCTTGTAGTCTTCTAAGTTTATATAAAAGATGTTAGGTGGGATTGCTACTTTTTAAACTTCTTCAATTAAATACTTACAATAAACAACATTGTTCTTAAATCCAAAAGAAATATGATCTATTGTGATGAAGTAGGTCCTTTCTGCTTCATAACCCTACATTCTTTAAACCTTCAACAATGATGTCTTTCTTAGAACTATAGCTTTGCATAGAATAAATCAAGTTCTCGCAATGCTTCTATAGATGCTCATTTGAGTGGCACTACAATTGCAAATGTTAAATAAGAATGTACCAAACGAATTCCTTGAATAAGATGTGGTAGTGCTATCAACCATCCAATTTTCCACCTTGCCAAAGAAAATGTCTTGCTCATGGAGTACATTATAATTGTCTTTTCATACATGTGTCAAGGACAAGAACTCGATGAAAAAGCAATTCAGACAAGTGAGCCTTCACTCGAAGTAAGGTAACAAAATATAAATAAACAAGTATGTATATTGAAAGAGAAACTGGAATGGCTATTGCCAAAAGACAAGAAAACTAGAGACCCTTGAAACTAGACTAGAAGCAAGAAAGGAATTGACAAGAGTGAAGAAGGCTTCACTCTTGTCTCTATATATACTATCTAACTAGGGGCTACGTGGCGACGTTCTATAGGACCTCCAATATGTGTTGACTTTGTTGGATACATGCCTTGACTTACAAAGCAAGTTTTTCTACGTGTGGGCCACATAGGTAACTTAATCTTCAAACTAATAATATATGTGGCACATGGCCAACTTGTTGACTATGTTTTTAATCCAAAAAGTCAATTAAAGACATCTATGAAGTCAAATCAATATCTATGAAGCTTCTAAGAAGCTTCCATATTAAATACTATAGAAGTAACTTACTTTTACCTACTTTTACTTACTTCCATCTATTTGTATATGTAATAACTAGCTTACATGAGTATGTCCATGACATTACCCCCTCTTCTAAGAACAAGTTCCATGAGGAGCGGTCATCATATGTTGAAGAAATCTATGATGCGACGAATTATATTTGCCACATACTCTAATCTTTGTTCTCTTCGAAGATGATTGATAGGGCCTCTCAACCATCGATAGTGTCTCATACTAGGGCAGGAATACCACCTAGTTATTTGATCATTGTTGAGGCCTTCATAACTTCCTTTGAATAGAACATTTGGAACACCATCAAGAATTATTCCTATCTCTAGTAAAATCACCAAACATTGGGAGTCCCTTCCCAAGTCGTGATACCAAACGCGTTGTATCTCGCCATCTATTCGAGGAAGAACATGTCGTTTTTGAAGATCTTTATCTCGATTGCATCGTCTTGAAGGTTGTGACAATTGTAATGTCTCGTCCAGTAGATCAACAAATGAAGGCTCTTGAGTTGAATCCGTTGATTGTTGATTCTCTATATCCTGAGTGTCACTACTGCAAAGAAGCTACGAACAAAGATTGAAAGTAGAATGTTATCTTGTCTAGATGTTGTTTCTTTTATAAAGAAGGTTTTCATCTTGATTTTGATGGATGTCGTCGATGAAAAGCCTCCACCGCCTTTGCTGCATTTGTAAGATTCTTTATTAGCTCCCATGTGTGTTCACTAATATCATATCCGCGTCAATGGACAAGATATTCCAATTTATTTTGGCGCCACCTTGAATCTAAGACTTCTTCTATTTCAAACTCTTTATTATTGTCCACTTCTATAGGAGGAGGTGGAGCTTGTCGTCTTCTTGGTATGTCCACTATCTTGTATGGTTCAAGAAGAGACACGTGGAATACCGGATGGATTTTCATTGACTCCGGTAGATGTAAACGATATGCAACTGGATTGATTTGTGCAGAAATAGAAAATGGTCTAAATCTTCGATAGTCTAATTTATCACAAGGACGAGTGGTCTTGATATTGTGACGAAGTAGCCATACCTTATCACCCAAGAGGAATGGTGGTTGTTTCTTTCGATAGACATCCGCATTGACCTTTTGTTGTTCTTGAGCCTCTTTTAACTACGCCTTCATCGTTGCATGTAGCTTTGATAAATGAATCGCCAAATCTTTTGCAGTAGGATTATCAACTTTTGAAAAGTCAAAAGTATCAAGTCTTGGATGATAACCATAATTAGCAAAGAAAAGTATTTATTTTGTAGAAGAATGTATCGTGTTATTATGAGCAAACTCTACCAATGGCAAAAGAGTTGTCCAATAATCTTATTGATAATTAATGTTACATCTTAAATATTGCTCCAAAACTTGATTAATACGCTCCGTTTGTCCATCAGTTTGAAGATGGAATGTCGAAGATAGTTTTATATCCACTTTTAGAATCTTGAAAAAAATCCACCAAAATCTTGATACAAATTGAGTTCCCCTATCTGATATAATATCCTTGGATAATCCATGATAGTGATAGATATTGTCAAGAAAGAGCTTAGCTGTTTCTTCACCTGTGATAGATTTTGTACATGGTATAAAACGTGCCATCTTAGTAAAACGATCTACTATCGCGAATATAGACTCATAAGAATCTGAGATTGGAAGATCCGTAATGAAGTCCATAGAAACAAAAGACCATGGTTGTTCTTGAATGGATAATGGCTGAAGAAGTCCAAAAGGTCAATGACGAGGAGTTTTTGATCTTGAGCAAACATCACATGATTGTACAAAATCTTTGACTGCCTTCCACATTTGAGGCCACCAAAAATCCCTAGATATTAGCTCCAAAGTCTTATTATATCCAAAATGTCCTGCTGCTGGAAAGTCATGACGAGCATGAAAAATACGTAAACATGTTTCTCCTTTTGGAACATATAGGCATCCTTCAAAATAGAGTAGGTTGTTCTTGAATTCAAATTTAGAAGAATCATGAGATTTAGAAGAATTATTCTTAATATCATGAACAAGAGGGTCTGAAGACATACTTAACTAGACTTGCTTAAGAAAAGTTAAATTAACAGTCAATGTTGATTTTATTGCTCGAAGATGAAATTGCTCCAACTTCAAGAGAACTGTTCTTTGTTGCTCAAACGCTACATCTCTTTCTTTTGGTACAAGATAAGAACGTCTAGACAAGGCATCGGACAAACCTTATTATTTTTCTGGCCGATAAGTGATGATGAACTCGAATCTTGATAAAGACATGTTCTAATGAGCTTGACAACGATTTAATATGCATGCTAACATAAAATACTAGAGGTTCTTGTGATCCATATACACGGTGCCTGGACTAGAAGCGCCTTCTAGATAATGATGCCATTCTTGAAAAGAACCCACGATTGCAAGAAGTTCTTAATTGTGGATTTCATAATTGATTTCTGTTGCTAAGAATTTTCTTGAATGAAAGGCTACTAGATGAAGTTTGTCATCTGTTCCCATTTGTGATAAAACCACACCCAGAGCAAAGTCTGATGCATCTGTTTTCATAAAGAATGCTTTGGAAAAATCAACACGATACAAGATTGGTGCAAAAACAAACGTTGTCTTCAAAGATTCAAAAGCAACTTCCGCTTCTTGATTCCATTGGAGTTTGTCTTTATAAGTCAAACGTATAAATAGAGCTGCAACTCGAGAAAAGTCTTTGATGAAGATCTGATAGTAGTTAGCAAATCCCAAAAAGCAGTGGACATCTCTTACCATTTTGGAGATCTTCCAATCTAAAATAGTTTGAATTTTCTTAGGATCCATCATAAGTCCATCATTTGAAATGATGTAACCTAAGAAATCGACTTGAGTAGTGTGGAATATCCACTTTTCTATCTTGGCATAGAGTCTTGCAGCTCTTAATTTTTGTAACACATGACAAACATGAAGTTCATGTTCTTCTGGATTCTTAGAATAGATCAAGATGTCGTCTAGATAACAGACCACAAAATTGTCCAAAAACTCTCAAAAAACATCATTCATTAGATGTTGAAAAGCTGTTGGTGCATTTGTAAGTCCAAAAGGCATGACATTGTATTCAAAATATCCATACCTAGTTCAAAACGCAGTCTTCCATTCATCTCCTTCTTTGATGCGTAGTAGATTGTATGCTCCTTGGAGATCTATTTTTGTATAGATCTTAGGTTGAATCAGCTGATCAAGAAGTCCAGATATTAAAGGTAGTGGATACCTGTTCTTCATGGTAATCTTATTGAGTCCTCGATAATCAACACACATCAGCAATGATCCATCTTTTTTCTTCACAAATAGAATTGGAGCTCCTGCAAGAGATTTAAAATGGCATATGAAATTCTTGGCTAGATTTTCTTCAATATACTCCTTGAGTTCAGTCAATTCATTTGTGATAAACTGTAGATTGGTCCGAATGGTGGTTGTGCTCCTTCTTGAAGGTCAATTGAACAATCATAAGGACGATGTTCCGGGAGTGTATCTGCATTCTTTTTTTTGAATACATCTTCAAATTCTTGATATTTGCTTGGAATGCTACTTGAATTCTTTACACCAGTAAAAACTGGTGTAGTATAATTAATATATGGTGATTCTT